TATTGATCCCTTTAGTATTATGAAGTGGCCTTCCTTATCTCTTGTTAGGGCCTTCACTTTGAGGTCTATTTTGTCCGATATAAGTATTGCTACCCCAGCTTTCTTTTCCTTTCCATTTGCCTGAAAGATATTTTTCCATCCTTTCACTTTCAGTCTGTGTGAGTCCCTTCTAATGAGGTGGGTTTCTTGTAGACAGCAGATGTATGGGTCATGTTTTTTTATCCATTCAGCCACTCGATGTCTTTTGTTTGGAGCATTTAGTCCGTTTACGTTTAAAGTTATTATTGAAAGGTACTTGTTTGTAGGCATTTCTGTTTTTGTGTGGCTGTTTTCTTTCTGAGCTTTTTATTTCTTATTTTTATACCAGTCCCTTTAGCATTCCTTGCATTGCTGGCTTGGTGGTGATAAACTCCCTTAGCCTTTTTTTGTCTGTGAAGCTTCTTATTTCCCCTTCAAGTTTGAATGATAGCCTTGCTGGATAGAGTATTCTTGGATTCAGTCCTTTGCTTTGCATCACTTTGTAAATTTCCGTCCATTCTTTTCTGGCCTGATGTGTTTCTGTTGAGAAATCATTTGACAATCTAATGGGAGATCCCTTGTATGTAACTTTCCGTCTCTCTCTTGCAGCCTGTAAGATTCTCTCTTTGTCCTGAACATTTGCCATGGTAATTATGATGTGTCTTGGTGTGGGTCTTTTTGGGTTCACCTTGTTTGGGACTCTCTGGGCTTGTGTGACTTTTTTCTTCCCCACCTCAGGGAAGTTTTCTGATATTATTTCTTCTAATAGGTTTTCTAATCCTTGTTCATCCTTCTGTTGTTCTGGTACCCCTATTATTCGTATGTTGTTTCGTTTCATGTTGTCCCAAAGCTCCCTTAGGCTCTCCTCCTGTCTTTTCATTTTTTTCTCCAATTGCAGTACGTTTTGGGTGTGTTTTGCTTCCTTGTCTTCTAAATCACTAATTCGGTCCTCCGCTTCTCCTAGTCTACTGTTGATACTTTCAATGGAGTTTTTCATTGCAGCTATATCACTCTTCATTTCTTCTTGGGTCTTACTTAAGTTGTTGATTTTTTCATCTGTTTCTTCTTGCTTCTTGCAGAGGTTGTCGATTTTTTCCTCCATCCGGTTTATGCACTCTAGGACCCTTATTCTGAATTCTTTTTCTGTCATGTTGCATGCCTCTGTATTACTTAGCTGCTTTTCTGGAGAGTCCTCCTTCTCTTTTCTTTGGGGGTTTCTTTGTCTACCCATGTTTGATCTCACTGACATATCTAGACGTTGAGTCGTTCAGTGGCTGCTCCCTTGGTGGCAGTGACTCCTTGGTCTGCGGTTGCTCTTCGGGCGGTTGCGGTAGCAGCTGCTCTTCAGTTGGCAGCAGCTCCTCTGGTGGGTGCTGTTCACAGCTGTGGTGGCTCTTCTGGCTGGTGGGGCGAGGTTTCACATACAGCTGCTGTTCCTCAGCAGAGGGTGTGGTGCTCAGGAGGTTGCTGTTGCTTGGATCTGCTGTGTTGATTTAAAGGCACAAAATACAGCACAACAAGGCACCACGTACCAGGCACTATACACAAATATATTCACGATATTAATAACCCCAAATAAAGGTGACCACCTGAATTAAGAGAATTAGGGGATAAGGAAGAAGGAAGAGAAAAAGAGAAAAGAGAAAAAAGAAAAGAAAATTAGGGACCAAAAAAAGGAGTGCAAAAATGAAATTGGGAAAAAGGAGGGGGGAAAATAAAAGCGAGAAAAGAAAGGAAAAGAAAAAAAAAGAGCGAAAAGAGAGAATGAAGTGGAAGAGGGGAAGAGACTTTTTTATATGAGGAAAATACTCCTATAGAACAGCCATTAATCCCAACAAATTCCAGCAACAGCTCCCTGGAGATGAATGCAAACTAGAAACAACCAATAATATAACGATGAAAATAGAATGGAGAACTCTAATCCCAAAATAAAATAAAGAGAAAATAAAATGGCACTTTAAAAAAAAATGGTAAAATGGTAGCAGTAATAATACTGGTTAAAAATAAGAAGGTAGTAATTAAAAGGGTAAAATCAGGTGATGGAAAAAAGAAGAAAAAAAAAAAGTAGAAGAAAAGCAAAAAAAGAAAAAAAAATTGGTTTCTTAGTTAAAAGGTGAAAAAAGAAAAAAAAATATTGCAGTAGTGAAGGTCCTTCGGTTCTTCTATTCTTCAGTGTGGCTCGCCTTAGACCTGCCAGGTATTCAGGAGAGTGTTGAGTTTCCCTGCGATACACTGTTCCTCTGTGTTGTAAACCACAGTCCTTATTTTAAAGCAAGCCGCATTTGTTTCCCGGACCGCCTTATTTTGTGTTTAGCAAAGAGTCAGTTTGTGGGTCAGCCTCTGGGTGGCAGTGTTCTGGGGTTGGCCTCTGAGGCTATAGGGCCTCTCTGTCCAGTGGAAGTTCACTGCCCAGAGCTGGCTGCGTAAGAGTTACCAGTGCTGTGTTGTTGCTGGGATTGACAAAATAAAATAAATTTTATCTGCAGTTTTGACTACATGTAAAGGAGGACCAAGCTAGTAACTGTAAGTGCTTAGGTGTAATTGATAGAACTTGTTCTGCATTGGTGTTAGGCACACACGACTCTCTGATCAATTGCTCTTGGCCACTAGTCATTCACTTTGTGAACATGGAAATACACTTTCTACTTAACAGTTGCTATAGACTTTTGAATGGAATTAAGAATATATCTTTGAGCCCTGGCAGGTGTGGCTCAGTTGGTTGAGCGTCATTCCATGCACCGAAAAGTTGCTGGTTTGATTGCCAGTCAGGCCACATGCCCAGGTTTCTGGTTGATACCTGGTTAGGGTTCATATGGGAGGCAATGGATCAATCTCTCCCTCTCCCTCTCCCCCCTCCCCTTCTCCCCCTCCCTCTCTCCCTCTCTCCCTCTCCTCCTCCCTCCCTCTCCTTTTCTCACTCAAAAAATAATAATAATCAATAAAAACAAAATAAAATAATAGACTGTATCTTTGAGAAGCTTATCCCCCTCTGGTACCTAATGGCCACCACAGAAGTCCCCACCTTGAGATGTGTATAATAAATGACTATAAATGCTTGTAACGAATGCTTGTAACGCCAAGACCTCATGTAAAAGAAGCTAAGTAGGTTAAGATAGTGCTATTCTTAGTTAACACAGACATCCCTTGATATATCTGTTCTACCACCTTTCGTGAATAATCGTGTTGTCTTTTGGAATGCCATCATTGGTAGAACACCTGTTTTCCCTGTGGTGTGGGCAAGTGCTGATGCGTGGCTTTATTGCTTTTTCCTAAGTTTGGTAACCCCTCTGAGAAGGGGAAGGCGGATCAGACAGAGCCAAGAGTGTCGGCTCTGTTCTCCTGTCTTTGTCCCTGACTCAATGTTTCAGGTGGACACTGACACTGGGCAACTCCAAGCTCCCTGCAGAGGGGCCGATGGGGACGTGCCCTCTCTCCAGGCAAAGGCAGGCCAAGGGGCCAGAGGCTCTGAGCTGAGGATAGGCGTGCTGCGTTCGTAGTTCCTTCTCTCGGAGTCTCTTGTTGAGTCGTGAGTGAGGGCAGTAAGAAGCCAGTAGCTCAGTGGTTCTCAACCTTCTCTGGGCATCCAGAATCATCCGGGAGCTTCTTAAAGTACAGATGCCTGTACCCATGCTCATAGTTTTAGATTCAATGAGCGTTTCCCAGAATGGCCCACTTGTGCAGCCAGGTCGAGACTCAGAGCACAGAGTTCTCTGATCCGTGTGGTCCACATTGGTCACTTTTAGTGGCAATCCAGTAGTGCATCTTGACCCCTCCTCAATTTTTTGTCACTTGGGTTATTTCTCATTTTCTACAAATATCACTAGAATCAACCATCAAAGGGGGGAGAGTTCTTTGATTTTTTTTTTTTTTTAGGAGTACAATTCCTTTAAAAATGGAATTACCAGGTCATATAGATATGTTCAATATTATGAGATGATTCTGAAGGGAAGGTATCATATGATGTGCCATTGAGAATATGTGGGTTTGTCATTTTCCCGCTTAACAAGGTGACTGGTAAGAAGTGTTGTGCCCAAGAGCTACGTGAGGGACTGTCGGAGAACAGAGCTGGTTCTGGGCCTTCGATTCATGTAGCAGGAAAGGTAGCTTAAGGCCTCGAAACACACGTTACATTTCTCAAGAACAATTTTGGTGCTATTTCAAGAGCAACAATGACCTAATGTTTCTTTCCTTTTTTTTTAATCCTCCCCCAAGGATATTTTTTTCATTGATTTTTAGAGAATGGAAGAGAGGGAGGCAGAGAGAGAGAGAGCGGGAGGGGAGGGGAGGGCAGGGGAGGGCAGGGGAGAGAGGCACACTGATTGGTTGCCTCCTGCATGCGTCCTGGCCGAGCAGGGGATGAACCTGCAACCCAGGTATGTGCCCTTGACTGGGAATCCAGCCGGAGCAGCACCAGCCTGTCATCTTTTCTTTTCTAAATGACAACAGTGTGAAAGTAGATATTACATTTGGCCATTAGCCAAGTTGATTTTGCATTTATAGGAAAATATGCTAAATAGCAGGAATTGTCTTCGCACATGTAATGTTTCTGAAGTGTTTTCATGTAGTTACTACTATCCTTTCTTTAAGTAGGGGTGGTAAGTGAGACATTAGAATTGTCCTTATGAATAATCTCAATAGAGGAACTATAGACGACTTAGCTTTATATGTGGAAAGCACACAGAAATCATCAGGAAGTGTGTTTATATCAGAAGTAAAATGCCTACTCGGTGTGTTATTGACCAAGGAGGTCATACAGGCCTTGTAGATGTTAGAATGTTTTCACTTGTGCTACGTATGTTCACTTGCTTTTAAGGGACTGGGATATAATTCTTATGTAAAGCCAGAGTAAGTCAGATTTTGGAGAAAAATGAACCAGCCTGTTTTCTTTGCATTTCTTTGTTGCCATGTAAAATCACTGTGCTTCAAAGCAGTCACCATTTCCAGCCCACACTGACAACCCTCCTTTGGTGTATTTTTTGCAGGAGGTCTATCGAATTCCAAAGAAAAGTCAGACGGAAAAGGAGAGCACAGGTAAATACTCAGAGACCCTCTGTAGCTTTGCAAACACTTTGGAATATACAGAGGTAACCGATAAGAACTTGAGTAGTTTTGTTTTTGAAACCAGACAGTACGTAGTTAGGTAAATGGAATATTTTAGTGTAAAGGTTTGGAAACGTGTAATTTTACGCTATCTTAGTAAATTTTTGCTAAGGAGATGTCTCTTTGTATTATCTTTGTTGTTGGTTTCCTTGAAGTCATGGCCTTTAGTAGTCTTATTTCCATGCATTGGTTCCTTTAGATCAGACGTTCTTTATATATACGTACATACGTATATATGCATACATATATATACATATATATATATCTGTGTACATATGTATAAAATTGATTTCAGAAAGGAAGGGGGAGAGAGAGATAGAAACATCAGTGATGAGAGAGAATTATCGATCGGCTGCCTCCTGCCCGCTCCCCACTGGGGATCGAGCCTGCAACCCAGGCATGTGGCACGTGCCCTTGACCAGAACTGAACCTGGGACCCTTCAGTCTGCAGGCTGACAATAGTTTTGCTATCCACTGAGCTAAACCAGCCAGGGCTAAAGATTCTTACATTGGTTTGATAAAAATTATCTAATCCTTTTTTTAATTAAAGAGACATTTCCTGTTGAGGTTTTATGCCAGGCTGCTCTTCTGCAAATTGTAAATATGCAGAGTTACAGGGGCAGTGGATGGTGTTCACATTTTTTTAAAAATATATTTTATTGATTTTTTTATAGAGGGGAAGGGAGAGGGATAGAGAGTTAGAAACATCAGTGAGAGAGAAACATCGATCAGCTGCCTCCTGCTCACTCCCTACTGGGCAAGTGCCCGCAACCAAGGTACATGCCCTTGACCAGAATCGAACCTGGGACCCTTGAGTCTGCAGGCCGACGCTCTATCCACTGAGCCAAACCGGTTAGGGCGGCGTTCACATTTAGAACTGACAGGCAGACTGCCTTGCTAAAGGTCATGTGTGCCGTGTCCACGGAACTTGTGAAGGCTGCTGAAGGCGCGGACGACACGTTGGTGGGAAAGTAGAAGAGGGCATCGCAGAAGAGGCTTTCGGGAAGCACAGTGCACTCACACACAGGCCTGTGTCTCGTCCAAATCCAGGCAGACATGAGGGAGGAGTCCATGGGCTCATTTGTTGGATAGAAATTTTATTACATGGTTGATGCATCATGATGGATAAAAGTCTACCAAGTAAATTTTTTTTCATCCTTAGTAACTGAGCGAGGAAGGGATGCTGCTGTCTTCAGAGATCAAACCACTGCCCCAAAGACTCCTAACCGGTCAAGAGAGAGAGACACAGACAAGCAAACTCAAAGTAAAGAGAAAAGGAAACGAAGGGGCTCCCTCTCACCGCCCTCCTCTGCCTATGAGCGAGGGACAAAAAGGCCAGATGACAGGTAAGTGGCAAAAGGTGCTCGGTCACACCTGGCTTTGGACCCAGGGGCTTTCGGAGTAAGTATACCCTCTTGATGAGTGAGTATAAAACTTCACCAGGAAGTGTGGAGACCGTCTCTTGATATTAGTATTAGCTGTGAAGACTAAGAATAGGTTTTTGGTTCTTGAGTGTTTTCCACTTGATAACATTCAAATCCTATTTGAGGAGCCAAAGACGTGTTCTCTAAGGGACAGGGGGGTGGGGTGGGGGTGGGGGCGGGGGGAGCGGGATAGCTCCTCAGAGGTAGCGGTGATTCTTGTCAGAGCTTTCCTAGTGACTGCGCCCCACGAGTCAGAGTGCTGATTGATCCTGTGTCCGAGGCTCTGTCATGCTCGTAGGGGAAAGGCCATCTGATCGCCACTAGGGACTAGAGAACACTTATTCCGGAGAAGTTCCTTATAAATATTAAATTTGCATTCACTTAGCAGTTGTCAGGGTGTTTAATTTTGGGCTCTCTGGGTGTATAATCGTAGCTCATCATGATTTCAGTTTACATTCCCCTGACCACTAAAGAGATGGAACATCTTGTCGTATATTTATTGGCCATTTCTGTTTCCTCTTCTGTGAAGCATCTTTATATGTTTTATTCATTTATTATTTGTCTTTTTGAGTATTGGGAGTTTTTTTGTTTGTTTGTTTTTAATATGTTTTTATTGATTTCAAAGAGAGAGGAAGGAAGAGGGATAGAAAAATGGAAACATCAGTGAGAAAGAAATGATGATTGGTTGCTTCCTACTGGCAGCCCTGGGCATGTGCCCTGTCCAGGAATCAAACCAGTGACCTCTTGGTTCATGGGTCAACGCTCAACCACTGAGCAACACTGGCTGTTAGGAGTTTTTTATATGCTACATTCTAAATATAATTATGTTTTACTGATAATTTTTGCAAGCATTTTTTCCCTAGTTTATGCCTTGTGTTGGGCTCATTTTGTACTTACGATGTACAGAATTTGTTCATTATGGTTTAATTAAGTATATTATGTACTGTATGTTTCCTTTATGGTTGGTTAGAGCTTACTGTGTTTTAAGAAATTCTTTCCTAGCTTAGCAGTAACATATACTTGGTATTGAACAGAGAAGAGTATATGAACATAACTCTGTTCTTTCATGTGTTTATATTCATCCTTTGTTGGTATTTGTTATAAATGTGTGTGGCCAAAACGTGTCATTCTTTATCTTTTATTCTTTATATTTATCTTTTATTAGTGTATTTTGATTTCTGTTTTAATTTCAGAATGTGTGGTTATAGATCTGTCCCCAACTATAAAGAAGAATCTATTTAGGGTGCTATATGTATCTTTAATTTGAAAAGCTAGAAACTTGGAATATGACAAACTTATTTTTTTCAATTTATGTGTCTGTTTCCTTGGGCTTCTTTTCTATTTGCAAGACTCCTTAAGTAATTTTGAGGGTGATTTTTAACCATTGCCAAATTGGAGTTGGTGTAATTAATGATTTAGTATTGAGTGACACAACACTTAGTGCTTTGATTATGTTTATAATTTAGGGAACAACGTTTTGTGATGCTCTTATTCTTTTCTTTCTAGATATGATACACCAACTTCTAAAAAGAAAGTACGAAAAGACCGCAATAAACTTTCTACGGAGGAGCGTCGGAAGTTGTTTGAGCAAGAGGTGGCTCAGCGGGAGGCTCAGAAACAGCAGCAGCAGATGCAGAACCTGGGAATAGCATCTCCACTGCCCTACGACTCTCTTGGCTACAGTGCCCCTCATCACCCCTTTGCCGGCTACCCACCAGGGTACCCCATGCAGGCCTATGTGGACCCCAGCAACCCCAATGCTGGGAAGGTGCTCCTCCCCACCCCCAGCCTGGACCCTGTGTGCTCTCCTGCTCCTTACGACCATTCTCAGCCCTTGGTGGGACATTCTACAGAGCCCCTGGCTGCCCCTCCACCTGTGCCAGTGGTGCCACATGTGACAGCCCCTGTGGAAGTGTCCAGTTCACAGTATGTGGCCCAAAGTGAAGGTGTGGTGCACCAAGACTCCAGCGTCACCGTCTTGCCTGTGCCGGCCACGGGCCCAGTCCAGGGACAGAACTACGGTGTTTGGGATTCCAGCCAACAGCCCGTCAGTGTGCAGCAGCCGTACTCGACACCCGCACAGTCGCAGCCAAGCATCTATTACCAAGGACAGACGTGTCCAACCGTCTATGGTGTGACATCACCCTATTCACAGACAACGCCACCGATTGTACAGGTGACTAATGCTGGAACCTCTCTTCTCTTACAGTTTGCTTATGGGATACTAAACTGATACATGGGGAAATCCTGGCATTGATCACTTCTATATATTGACCAATACTAATTACGTATTGCATAAAAAATTACTCTAAAACTTAGCTGCGTAAGACAACAAGTAATATCTGACAGTTTCTGTGGCCAGAGATTCAGGAGCACGGGCAGGGTGATTCTGGCTCAGAATCTCCCATGAATTTACATTAACCAGGGCTTAGTCATCGGAGGACCCGCTGGGGATGCAAGAGTCACTTTCAAGCTCACTCACCTCGTTTACTGACCTCTCAGTAGGGCTGTTTACAGCATGCCAGCTGGTCTCCCCCAAGCACATGCGGGAGAGAGGGGCTTTCTTCATTCTCACCAAGGATATTTTTTCCATTGCTTCCTTTTACTTCATTTTATTTTATTTTGCAGAGAGGGAGAGAAGAAATTAATGATGAGAGAGAATCATTGATCAGCTGCCTCCTGCACGCCCCACACTGGGGATCCAGCCCGCATCCCAGGCCTGTGCCCTGACCAGGAATTGAACCACGCCTTCCTGGTTCATAGGTCAACACTCAGCCACTGAACCGCGCCAGTTGGTTGTCTCTTGCACGAGCCCCAACTGGGGCTGGGGATGGAACCTAGGTACGAGCCTTGACTGGGAGTCGAAACCGCCACCCTTTGGTGCACTCTAACCACTGAGCACACTGGCCAGGGCAAAATGACTTTTGGATTTCTCCTCTCCTTTTGTTTGTAGGCGGTGACTTATATACAGTTTACTCATCTGTATCCCTGCGAAGGAGCCCTCTGTCCTGATACCTGAATTAGGACATGGCTTGCCCTTTCTAGACCCATCTTGTATATTATTTCCTGTAACCCTACATGTTTATCACTAAGAAGTTTGCCAGAGTGACTCTAATGCACTGAGCCTAAGGATATTACTATGGTAGGAAACTGTTGTTAAGTTTAAAAACTAAGAGTGTACTGACTTTATATTTCAAAATGTATTGTTTTATGTTTTTAAATCATTACTTTTTCTTATAAAACAAAGTGATACATTTTAAGCGTTAAAATTAAAAGGAGAATGTATAAAGCATCGTTCTTACCACATTCCTGTGTCTGTCTGCCCCCCCATCACTCTTCATCGTCCCTGAAGGAGAATGTGGAGAGCAACGACTCGGATGTTCCTGCACGTTATTTAGTGTTGACCAGTGATGTTCACTTCTGCTAGTGTTACTGAGCTGAAGCTGTATCAGAATTTAGTTCCAAAAGTCATGACAAAAATGTCCTCCTTTAATTCCTAAAGCCTTAGCTATATTAACTATAGTTTCATTTTTATGATCTCTTTGCCCACGATTATATATTTTTATATACGTGTAACCTTAAAGATCTGAAGTTTTTTTATCCCATTTTTTCTACTTAACATTATTCTTAACCATTTTTCCAAATTTTGGATTTTTTGTATGTATATACATACATACATACATATGTATACGCATCCATGTTAATGTCTATATAATATTTCGTTTGCTTATAAGATCATTTTCAATCTATTTTTCTGGGGCAGTCATTTAAGTTGAAAGCTCTTTTTCATAATTATAAATAGCACTGTACTGAACATTCTTTTTATTTTATATATATATATTTATTGACTTCAGAGAAGAAGGGAGAGGAAGAGAGAGATATAGAAACATCAATGATGAGAGAGAATCATTGACCGGCTGCCTCCCGCACGACCCCCAGTGGGGATTGAGCCCGCAACCTTGGCATGTGCCCTTGACCGGAATCGAACCGGTGACCCTTCAGTCTGCAGGCCGACACTCTATCCACTGAGCCAAACCGGACAGGGTGCACTGAATATTCTTATACTTAGTTTTGTGTATTTTTTTTTCTTTCATGTTGGCTTAAAATGAATGCTAAAGTGCTTAAATAAGGGTAGTAAGAAAATGTTCATTATTGGTTATTAGGTATTGATTTTACACAATGTTTAGGGACCTTAAACAAGTTTCTTAGATCCTGACTTCTGTCTTGCCCTATTCTTTCTTGGACCAAGACATTATTTTTGAGTTTTCCCCTGAGAAGACGTATCACAAGTAAAGGAAACCTCCGCTCTGTCCCGCTCCTGTCTGACGTGTGTACGAGCCTGGCTGTTAGGCCTGAGCAGCAGCCGTGAGAGTCCTGCAGAGACGCCGCAGCAGAACGCTCGCTGGTCACCTGGTGGTTCTGATAGAATAGAATCGGGTTTTTCCATCCCAGTGAGCAAAAGGCTTCTCTAGGGTTCATCAGAAGTAGCCGTACGATTCGAGTGTCGCAGTTTTACTTGTTCCCAGTTTTCCAGGCTGCTCCTACCAAGAAGTCATCTGTTCACTCCCTAACCCACTCTGTGTGCTGAGTCGTAGATAAATGGATGAGGATGATTCAGACCACCCTTCCCTTCCCTGAGATGAGCTGAGTTGAGCTGAGATGATGTTGGGCTTTGGGTAATGAGTGGCGTAGAGCATGTTGTGTGTGTTGTGAGTCCTAATTCATTATTTATTGTCATTATTTATTGTGTGTCCTGAAGACAGGCGCTTAGATTCTTCAGTTTTAGTTTTCTTGTCTATAACATGAGCAGAATGCCTCAGAGTGGTTGAGGTTTGCATGAGATGATGAATTAATAATGATCGATTTAAAGCACCATTTACCTTAAAGGTTTAATTATAGTTACTACTCAAACAGTTACCATAGTAATACTGAGAGAATATGCCATTAGCGAGCTGTCACGTGCAGCTCATCCAGGTCACCTACCTCTGTGTGGCCTGAAGACCTGACTCCCGGAGGGGGCCTGGAGGTCGGTGTCCGTCGATGTCCGTCAAGCCTCGTGTCAACCATCACAGGATGGGGACTGAGTTTATAGATATGATAGCTTTGACAGTGAAGGATTATGCGGTACGGTATAAATTTGTATGTGTGCATATACAACATTTTTGACATTTAAAGTAGATGTGTTATTGGAAGGTGACCATGTCACTTTTTTGTCACAGTTGCTTATTAAATATAAAAAGCTCAGTTTTAACTGAGGCCACATGATTTATAGTGGTTTTGTGACATTAATGAGTGACCTTTCAAAGTTATACTGAATCACATCTCAAAAAAATTTGAGTGCTTAGACTATAATTTTTTATGTTATAAAGTCAGGTGCCTCAGATAGAAAGTAATAGTGATTTTTCCCCCTCTAGTAGTTGGGGAAGAACAATTATGTTTTTGCCTCTATAACATTGGACCTTAGTTTTCTCTTGTAGCTCCCATTGTAAATCACATTTTGAAGATATTTCTTTTTTTTTTAATTAAATCTTTATTGTTCAGATTATTACATTTGTTGCTCTTTTTTCCCCCCATAACTCCCCTCCACCCAGTTCCCACCCCACCCTCTGCCCTCACTCCCCACCCACTGTCCTCATCCATAGGTGCACGATTTTTGTCCAGTCTCTTCCCGCATCCCCCTCACCCCTTTCCCCCCCCAAGAATAGCCAGTCCACTCCCTTTCTATGCCCCTGATTCTATTATATAATCACCAGTTCATTCTGTTCATCAGATTATTCACTTGATTTTCAGATTCACTTGTTGATAGGTGTGTATTTGTTGTTCATCATTTGTATCTTTACCTTTTTCTTTCTCTTCTTAAAGGATACCTTTCAGCATTTCATATAATACTGGTTTGGTGGTGATGAACTCCTTTAGCTTTTTCTTATCTGTGAAGCTCTTTATCTGACCTTCAATTCTGAATGATAGCTTTGCTGGATAAAGTAATCTTGGTTGTAGGTTCTTGGCATTCATCACTTTGAATATTTCTTGCCACTCCCTTCTGGCCTGCAAAGTTTCTGTTGAGAAATCAGCTGACATTCATATGGGTACTCCCTTGTAGGTGACTGACTTTCTTTCTCTTGCTGTTTTTAAGATTCTCTCTTTGTCTTTTGCTCTTGGCATTTTAATGATGATGTGTCTTGGTGTGGTCCTCTTTGGATTCCTTTTGTTTGGGGTTCTCCGCGCTTCCTGGACTTGTAAGTCTATTTCTTTCACCAGGTAGGGGAAGTTTTCTGTCATTTCTTCAAATAGGTTGTCAATATCTTGCTCTCTCTCTTCTTCTGGCACCCCTATAATTTGGATGATGGTACGCTTGAAGCTGTCCCAGAGGCTCCTTACACTATCTTCGTATTTTTGGATTCTTTTTTCATTTTGCTTTTCCGGTTGGGTGTTTTTTGCTTCTTCGTATTTCAAATCGTTGACTTGATTCTTGCGATCCTCTAGTCTGCTGTTGGGAGTCTGTATAATATTCTTTATTTCAGTCAGTGTATGCTTAATTTCTAGTTGGTCCTTTATCACAACCTCGAGGGTCTTACTAGATTTCTTGTAGATCTCATTAAGTTTATCAGCAGTTTCTAGAAAATTCTTGAAAAACCGTAAAAGTGTGGTTTTGAACTCTATATCCAGTAGTTTGCTTTCCTCAATTTCTGTCATTTGTGTCCTTTTTCTTTGTCTCCGCATTTTTTATGCTTCCCTGTGTTGATAAAGTGGTTTTCTGTGCTAAGTGTCCTCTAGGACCCAGTGGTTCAGCCTCCCCAATTACCTGAGGAGGACACTCTTGGTGCACCCCTTGTGGGCTGTGTGCACAGTCTTGTTGTAGTTAAGCCTTGATTGTTGTAGGTATCACTGGGAGGAATTGACCTCCAGGCCAATTGGCTGTGAGAATCAGCTGTGTTTGCAGTGGGGGAACTTCTGTGCTGGAGACACCCCTCTGGGGTGTGACTTGCTTCAATGGGGCTTTGGTGCTCACTGAGTCTGCCCCCTGAGTGTGTCCTTTATGGTTCCGAGGAGCTGCAAATTGGATGGTCCCACTCTGACCTCTGGGTTTCCTGGCTCCTGGATCTCTAGGGAGGTGCTAATCTAGCCTTTGCCTGAGGCTATCCAGCAAAAACCTCCCTGCAGGGCTTGGGCGGGGCGGGTCCCACGGGATCAACAGGGCGGGGGTAGCAGTTATGGCTGCTCTCAGAGGCCCAGCTTCTCAGTGTCTCGGCAATCACTGCAAGCCCCTCTGAGAGAAAGCTGCCCTCAAGTTCCGACCGATGCCAGACAGTCCTGCTTCTCCCGTATGAGTCTGGGTCCCTAGAGACTCGCCCGGAACTGGAGCTCAGAGCCTGAGACTCCCTCCCAATTGAAAATGACAACCGCGCCCTCAGCCGCCAGCCCGCTCCGCGTGCACCTCCACACCTTAGTATTTTACTTCCGCACCGCACCTCCTCTGAGTCTCGGTATGCTTTTCTCTTTCCTTCTAGTTGTAGAATTTCCACTCAGCCAGCCTTCCTGTGGTTCTGGATGATGTCTGTTCCGTCTTTTAGTTGTATTTTTGAAGTGGTTGTTCGAGGCAGCAAACTCCAGTGTTTAGCTATGCCGCCATCTTGGTTTCTCTCTTTCTTTTTTCTTTTAATAACATATTTTTATTGATTTTAGAGAGGAAGCTGAGAGAGAAATAGAAACACCAATGGTGAGAGAGAATCATTGATCAGCTGCCTCCTGCACCCAGGCATGTGCCCTGACCGGGAATTGAACCGTGACCTCCCAGTTCATAGGTCGACTCTCAACCACAGCCACACCAACCGAGCTTGACGATATTTCAAGACTGTGTTTATGTTTGCGAAGTTAGCTTTTGTGTAATTTCAAGTTGCCTGAAGGGGATAGTCATTTCCTACGGCTTTCCCCGCAGCCAATGGGGAGATTTGACAGGCACATGCTATTGAAATATTTCTCACAAGTGTATGCATCTTTGTGTTATTTCAGTGATATTATAAACCGGTTTTCCCTTTTTATTGCTGTTGTTGGTTTTGGCTCTGGCATTAGCACATGATTGCCAGCTGATTTGGGTAGATACCATAGAACCCTGGAAAGTGTTCACTTTCCCTTTACTTGTTGACACTATACCTGCAGGTGGAAGGTGATGCCAACGCGGGTGTTAATTGCTGCTTTATTGGAGCTAGAAAAGTATACATCATGCATTTCTGCATTTTATCTTTCAGAGTTATGCCCAGCCGAGTCTGCAGTACCTCCAGGGGCAGCAGCTCTTCTCAGCTCCAGGAGTGGTGGTCCAGCCAGCCGCCGCTGTGACGACGGTCGTGGCACCAGGGCAGCCTCCGCCCTTACAGCCAGTAAGAAATCGTCCGGCCGTCAAAACGCTCGTCGTTTTGGTTTGGCTTTTATTTTTGTTTTTTTTTAATTTGTAACTTAAACTGACTGACCTTATATTTTTATACTTTGCTATGAATTTCTGAAGTAATACTTTTTTAGACTAGCTATCATTTATGATGCTGTAGGATACTATACTAGACGACATGAACTAGTATAGTGTAGAATTGAACGCTGTGCACTGTGTACTGAGGGGAGCTTTTGGTATTCACCATCTGTAGAAAGATATGGTGAAACCTTGATGAAGGGTTGTTTGGGGATGAAATGGGAAACAGGAAGCTGGTCTTGGAAGCAATTGAGAAACTAACAGATTCACATGATCAGAATAGCAGGTCTGTCGACGGCTCTTGAACGACCTGGCGAGTGCTGGTGGCTGTAGACAGGCAGGGAAGTGGAGAGGGGGACCCAGGCTGCAGGGGGGAAGTCAGTGAGCACTCACAGCAGGAGTTCGAGGGCTTGGTGCGTGCTGGGCCCTCCTTAGCATTCTTAATACAAATAGAACATTGCGTTCCTGTTACTAGAAGTTGATATCCTAAGAGTTGAGGATCACGATGAATGGTATTTACTATTGTGAAAGGTACAGATGAAGAGTTTGGGGGAAAGAATCATTCCCAGGTGGGGGAGGACTAATAATTTATTAAATATTGAATGACATGCAATATTAAGTGACACCAAAGCTTGGGGAAAAGCGGCCAGAAAAGGACTGCAGGGAGGGAAGAGGTGGGACTTAAGCAGAGATTAGGGGGTGTGCACAAAGCAGCAGCCTCAAAGGCCCGCCTGCACTGCAAAGAGGAAACGTATTCTCGCCTGGCGTCAGGCTCCTCGTGAACCGCCCAAGCAAAGGTAAAGCTGGAAGAGCTGTTCTCGTGTGCCTGTGTTTTTTAGCCTGAAATGGTTGTGACAAATAATCTCCTGGACCTGCCGCCTCCCTCTCCTCCAAAACCAAAAACCATCGTCTTGCCTCCCAACTGGAAGACGGCCCGCGACCCTGAGGGGAAGATTTATTACTACCACGTCATCACCAGGTGAGGGGCTGCTGGGTGTCTCATATACCGTAGGCTTTGGTCCTTTTCAGGTGTTTTGGTGTATTTTTGATCTGCAAAGCTCTTTTGGAGAAAACAAAGGGGTTTTTAAAAAATGGTAATGACATCATTAGCGTAGCTATCAGGGGTCAGGGGTCATGGGCAGACCTCTTCTGTAAAAGACCAGACCAGCCCTGGCCGGTGTGGCTAAGTGGTTAGATCATCAGCCCTTGGAACGAAGGGTTGTGGGTTCGATTTCCGGTCAAGGTCATGTAGGCTCCCTCTGTTGCAGGCAGGATCCCTGGCCCTGGTCGGGGCACATGTGGTAGACAGCCAATCGATGTTTCTCTCACATCAATGTTTTTTTCTCTCTCTGTCTCTCCTCTCCCTCCTCCCTTCACTCCATTCTCTCAAAAAAAAATTATAAAAAATATCCTCAATGAGGATTTAAAAAAAAAAGACCAGATGATAAATATTTTAGGTGTTGCTGGGCCTCTGTCATGACTACACAATTCTGCCATTGTTGTATAAGCAGCTTTGATAATACATAAATGAATGGGCATGTCTTTGTTTCAATAAAGCTTTATTTACAAAAATAAGCAATGGACCAGATTTGGTCTCTGAGCCATAGTTTAATGACGCCTGCTATATAAAAAAATCAATTTATCTTTTTCTTAGAAATTAAAAAAAAAATGTATTTTAGACAGGACAGCTGTGAATTTGTGTTTCCTCTGAGTGTGTGTGTGGTTGCACTCATCGGTATATAATCTATATGAATTGTTTGGGTGCATGTTTTATAATTTGCAACTACGTTGTTTTTAATGCTTGCTTATATTTTGTTGCAGGGGTTAGCAAACCATGCATCTATGGCCCACTTATTTTTGCAAATAAAGTTTTTTGGGATCACAGCCACACCCACTTACTTAGGAATTGTCTGTGGTTGCTTTGATGCTACAGTGGCAGAGTAGAACAGTGATTGCAGAGGCCACAAGGCCAAAGATATTCACTCTCTGATTCCTTATAGAAAAGAGTTTGCCAACCCCTGCTCTCTTGTATGGCCTCACCAAGTTTTATTTAAACCCACCCTGCTTGACGGGTTTTCCCTGTTTTATATGTAACGCTAACCCTGGACACCCTTAAACCTCATCTTAGTACCTTCTTCAGTTAGATTCTTAGAAGTAGAATTGTTGGTGAAAAGAAATATACATTTTAGTTCCTTTTTTCTCTTTTTTTAGTTACACATTTTAAATTGATAAATAGACGACCATTAAAAAAATTATTTACCAACTTAGACTCCCAAAAAAGTAAAGAGGTGCCTTTTTCATCATGTAGGTTCTTTTAATCTTGTGTGTCTATTAGGTGAGAAATCTTATTTTCATGTACAGTTTTTACTGAGATGGAGCGTCTTGTCTTCATTAGATTATTGGCAGTTTGTATCTTTTGTGAATTGTTTGTTTTGGTCTTCTATCCTTTTTGTCTTTTTATCAAAGGTATTGCAAGTATATTTTTGTTTGTAGTATCTTGTGACATAAGGAAGTTTAAAATTTTCATACAAGTATTTTCCCTTTATGTTTTCTCTTTAGAAAGGCCTTTGTTTTTCCTATAAAATACTTCTATAAAAGAAGCCTTCATTATATTACTAACTGAAAACATAGTAATTTTAAAAACCATTGTTTGCAAATTTTATCAGAACTTTGTTTTTCAATATCAAAGCAAACTTTTTAATGTATTATCACGTTTCCAAAAAGAAAAAGCTTATATTTCTTATTTACATGGTACTTGTTCCAAGTTTTTCCTAAGTTTTCCTTAGCTAGCATCTGAGCATCATACTTCTTTCTCTGTTCACTTTCCATAATAAAGCCACAGCTGCTGGTGGTTCTTTGGGTACAGTAGAAATCTTGAGCCCATTTTTATTTTTTAAATATATTTCTATTGATTTCAGAGAGGAAGGGAGAGGGGGAGAAAGAAACATCAATGATGAAAGAGAACCATTGGTCAGCTGTCTCCTGCAAGCTGGGCCTGTGCCCTGACCAGGAATTGAACCATGACCTCCTGGTTCATAGGTCAATGTTCAGCCACTGAGTCAACGCCAGCTGGCCTTGAGCCCGATTTTTTATTTTTTACTTTTTTATTTTTGGTTAATTCTCACCTGAGGATGTTTTTCAGTTGATTTTTAGGGAGAGTGGAAAAGAGAGGGAAAGACAGAGAGAAACATCGATGTGAGAGAAACACATCGGTTGGTTGCCTCCTGCATGAGCCCCGACCAGGGCCCAGGCTGGGGAGGAGCCTGTAACCCAGGTACGTGCCCTTGACCGGAATCGAACCCAGGACCCTATGGTCCGCCGGCTGAGGCTCTATCCACTGTGCCACACCGGCCAGAGCTGAGCCCATTTAAAAAAGAAAAGTTGCGTTGGTCAGAGGTAAGCCTGTGTTCCCAGTCACCTGAACACTGACTCCATCGGTGCCTCTCGTGTTGCTGGCTGAACGGGGTGGGGTGAAAGCAGAGATTTCGGGCAGAGCCGCCTGGCGGAAACGTCACAGCGTCTCGGGCTTTTCACGTACGAAGTGATTCCCCTTAAAGCACCCCCTGTGGGAACTGACTTCAGAACATGAATCCCCTCACTCCCAGTTGTTGCCTCGCAGACCTAGCTTTAAAAAAATCTGTCTCCTTATTTTCAAAACAACGACAAACATACACAGGTTGAACCCTTCTTTTTGCAGTCAGTTGAAGATATTTTCAGACTTGGGCACCAGTCTTTAGCCTGTAGGTCTTTTCCATGCTGTCAGTCCTTAAACCAAAAGGCACAGAGACAGCCAGAGGCTCCTAAAGCAAGGAGGCGTTCCCACCGCCCAGGGTCCCGAGCAGGTGCTGGGACGGTTCTGCACGGGGACCTACCGAGCACCTCTGAGGACACGGCCGGGCGAGAGACAAAGGTGGTTGGTTGTGCTGCTCTCTTTGACACCATTGGCTACAGAAGAACAGTGGGCTACACAGTCCTCTCGGAGATAGAGTCGTTGTTGCTGGGAAGATGTCAAAAGAAGGGCTCTGCCTCGTTCTGTGTTGGTGGCTGTGCTGCTGCGTGGGTGTGAGCAGAGACGCCGGGCCAGAATTCTCCGTGTTCTGGCCATGACAGCAGGGCTCTTCTTACCTCCTTCTAGGCAGACTCAGTGGGACCCTCCCACGTGGGAAAGCCCAGGAGACGAGGCCAGCCTTGAGCATGAAGCTGAGATGGACCTGGGAACCCCAACATACGATGAAAACCCCATGAAGGTGGGTGTGGCTGACGCCGGTGTTTCCTGGTCGCTTGGGATTCTGTGCCTTGTCGTTTTGTAGGGCCGGTAGCCGCCTGTTCTCGGGTTCTGTTCTCCTATTGGCTCTGGAGAATTACACGTGTAATAAATGCTGGGGCCGCCGGTAGGGCAGCCCGGACATGCTGACAACACGGAAATGTGGTCTGTAGAACAGCAGGGAAGAGCCCTTAATCGCTGGTCAGCTGCTCTCCTTCCCTTCTCTCTCGGGATACATAGCCTTTTAGGGCAGGATTCTCAGCGAGGATCAGGCGTGCTCCTCGGGACGTTTGACAATATTTAGAGAGATTATTGGTGGTTGTCGTCAAGGGGATGCTACTGGCTGCTAGGGATTAAAGGCCAGGGAAACCACGAAAACAAAATGCACAGGAGTGCCCCCCTCCCCTCCCACATCGCTGCTTTAAAGTAAGAGCACCGCCCGCCTTCCCCTCCCCCACCCGTGGGTTTCTAGAATCGACACGAGACCCCTTGCAGCACCCAAGATGCTCCCGACCCGTGAGGTCGCCTGTGATGTCTTGGGGACCACTGGTCCACTCATGTCCTTTCTGGTGCTGAAGGGTTTCTGACTGGCAGCGGGCATTTGGGAAGGTCACCAACACTTAGTCTTAAGTCTCTGAAGGCGTTCATGTCGCTGTCCATCAAACTGTCCTTGACTCTGACTCTGGCTCCTGGGATTGTGTGGTGTCGGGCTTGAGTGAGCGTTAGCCAGTTTCCGAAGTGATTTCCGTGCCGTTTGCAGACCACAGACCACGGGGGTGTGGATGTCAGTACCCCCAAGAGCACTTCCTTTGGCTCTCGGTGCCCATGCTGCAGTCTCGGCGCCTGGCAGTTGAACAGCCCCTTTCTCAGTCCCAGTAGCACCGCACTCGACGGGCCCCTGGTCTCCCGACGGTGCCCCGTGGACGGTGCTCCGTAACTGTTCTCACAGCCCACCCTCCCAGCCAGAGAGCCAGACGGCTGCTCAGCGCAGCCCGTTCAGAGGGAGCGGGTTCCTGTTGGCACAGCACTCCTGCGAGAGCCTGGCCGTCCTCCCTCAGGGCGTCCGTCCTCCCTGCTCTCGCTGCTCGTGTCTGAGGCCCACAGGGAGCTTGGAGGACGTGCTGCCGTGTCCTCGGCTTGTCAGGCAGTTTTCGATCCCTTGCTACCTGAGGTCTTCCTGTGAAGCACACCCCGCCTCTCTAGTCCTGGAAAAGTAAACGCAAAATCCCAAAGCAGAACATTTGAAAATAGATTGCTTGCCGAGTTGTTTTATTTCCTGACAACAGAGGTTGATCTGTGTGCTCTTTCTCTCCCTCCTCCCCTCCCCATCCCGCTCCCACAGCCACAGAAAGAAAGTAAGACAATGGGAACTCTGTAGACCTTTCATAACAAGTCCGAGAAAGCTGGTTGTAGCCCAGAGCAGGGAGGGCCACCTTCCTCAGGAGCCAGCCCAGGGAGAGGCCTGGCTCCCATCACCAGCACCTTCATTCTTGATGGACATGGAGGGGTCGCAGCTGGGGGTGGTTGGGAGAAGGAAAAGTTCTCTGCTGTGAGTGGCAGCAGGAACAGGACGTGGCTGTCATACCAGCTGCAGCTTCTACACCCGTCGGAGTGACTGCTCCACGGGGAGCGCTCGTGGCCTTCCACAGAAAAGTGCGTTTGCCACGTTTCCACGGAGAGGGCGGCTGGTGGCGGGCAGTGTGGGCGACGGCCTTGCATGGAGGCGCTCACCACTGAGCAGTGCTGGCTGGAGGGACGTGGCCGCTCCCCCCAGCGCTGCTGGAAGGGACTGTCCCGGGGGGGTCCCTCTTACCAGCTTGGGACCCAGGCACCGTGTCTCATCATCTGCTCATCTGCTCACTGACTGGCACAGCCCTGTCTTCTTCCCCCGGAATCCTAGTTGCCTCTGGTCTTTGCATTTCTGAACTGGAATCCCACCCTCCCAGGAGCCTCTCCTGCAGTCTGGCCAGTGCTGCCTCAGGAGGAAAAGGGAGGCGTATCCCAGGGGGGTGGGAGGACTGGGGAGAGGACGTGTGTGTGGGAACCTCCAGATGTGGTGAAAGGTTCCAGAACGTGTTTTCCGTTGTCCTGGAGCCCTGGCGTGTCAGCAGGAGAAGTGGCGCTCAGTGAGCTTCGGCCTGGACAGTGCTGGGCGCTGAGCGCGGGGTAGTGAAGCTCAGGCGGGCATCTGAGTGGTCCATTCACAGCAGAGAACTCGGCTCTGAAACAGTAGAGGTTTTCGCTCCGTCACGGCTGCAGCGCTGAGTGAGGGTAGAGAACTAGGACTTGGTTCGTCGGGGTGAGGGCTGAGCCAGATGCCTCCAGGCCTCGTGCCTTCAGCCGAGAGGCCAGAAGGGGGGAAGGGGGTGCTGGAGCAGCAGGGCATCACGGTCTGACCTCGTCCCAGTGTTGCTGCTTTCTCTTCGTTTCTAGGCCTCAAAAAAGCCCAAGACTGCAGAGGCAGACACCTCCAGCGAGCTGGCCAAGAAAAGCAAGGAAGTGTTCAGAAAAGAGGTAGGTTTGGTGGGGGTTGCTCAGCTCCATGGCTGATTAAACCAGCCTTCCCTTTCCCGTCCTCAGCACCCACAGCTCGTCCCCTCGCCTCCGCCATTCAGCTGTGCAGCTGCTGTGATGGCGCATGGCATGGCCTTGCACTTGGGTGATGAGCACTTCCATGCCCACTGTCTGATTCCGTCCACGCAGCCCTCGAGGTGGGCAGGGAGGAACTGTCAGGCCTCGTGGGCGGGAGCAGGAACCCCTAGGCCTCTGAGAGGTAGGTGCTACACAGAGACTTGAACTCAAGCCTCCTGGCAGTTGGTTCTCTTTCTGTGACACCTCACGGGACTGCCTGATCCTTAGGGGCCGGAGAAAGCAGCTCCGCTCTGCTCCCAGGGTCCCAGCCCCAGGACACCAGCTGGTCTGCCAGGGATCTGGGTTCTAACACGCCCTGGTTTCCTGAAGGGACTCTGGTGTGCTGGCGGCTGAGTGAAGAGGGCGCTGAGGGTGTCGGTGTCAGGAGGGGCAGGTGGATGGGGAGCGTGTCCCTCAGGCCATGGATGTACAGGAGAGCCGGCAGTGTTTCTCCAGGGAGCTGTGCGTGGCCATGGCCGTGCCAGGCGGGCAGGGCATTGGGAGATGGGCTGAACAGTCCTGCACTGCTCCACGCGGCCTGTGTGGCTCACGGGAACCAGTGCAGGGCTTTCAGCGGGAGATGGATTGAGGCAGAGAGTACGGAGGCCAGGAGGCCTCATAGACAGAGACCCCTTTAGTCTCTCACGATCCCTGTGAAATGATCGGTGTTTCAGCTCAGCCAACCAGCAGCTGGCTACTTCCTCAGTGCCTGCTGTGCGATAGGGCGTTGTTCTCTGGCTCAGAAGGCTCACTGAGCTTTGAGGGCAGTGGGCCCTGGGCAGTGCTCCCTGATGAAGTGGCTCTCGCTGGCCTCCTCGCTCCCTTTGTCCCTGGGGTCTTGGTGCCATGAATACTTCAGAGGTTCTGTGTCTGGGTCTCCTGAGAGCCACTGGGCAGGACAGACACCGAGAGCTCAGAGGACACAGATGTTGTATATAGAAGAGGGTCCTGCCCAAGGCTTTCCTGGCCAGCTGTCATGCTGCGCTGCCACCTCTTCACGCAGCTGCGGTGTGAAACCGCCCGCTCCACGCAGCTGCGGTGTGGCCCCCCCTCTCCACGTGGCTGCGGTGTGAACCCGCCCGCTCCACGCAGCTGCGGTGTGGCTCCTCCTCTCCACGCAGCTGCGGTGTGGCCCCCCCTCTCCACGCAGCTGCGGTGTGGCCCCCCCTCTCCACGCAGCTGCAGTGTGAATGCGCCCGCTCCACGCGGCTGCGGTGTGGTTCCACCTGTGCCTCACAGCCCCTGGCAGCACTTCTCTCTGCACTGTTTCTGGAGCCAGAGGACTCAGCTGCCGCCTCTACACTAAGGAAGTGCCCTGTGCTTGCTGAGCCCGGGGCCTGCATTCCAGTTGCATAAAGAGGATCGCTTTCTCCTGTCCCTGCTGCCGGCCCCGTCTAGGCTTGCTCAGTCCACGCCAGGGCGCCCCCCTCCACCCCCCGCCCCACAGGGCTGACCTCATTATGACTTCTTCCTTCCTGGATGTTGAGCGTGTGTTCTCTCCGCTGCCTGCAGATGTCCCAGTTCATCGTCCAGTGCCTGAACCCTTACCGGAAACCAGACTGCAGAGCGGGAAGGATCACCACCACGGAAGACTTCAAGCACCTCGCTCGGAAGGTACCCTCCCGCTGTGAGCGGCAAGTTGTGGGCAAACCAGGCCTCCTGAGAGGCCTCTCCCATCTGCAGTGGGTTTTCCTGGCCCGATGCCCAGGCTGGGTGCCCAGGAACGGAGGGAAGGTTTGAGAAGGAAGGGCCCTACCCGAGTGTAGTGACTCCGAGAAACTTCCAGGGCTGAGCTGCCCCTCCTGGTGGCCCCAGCACCAGCCGCCCCACCCTGTCTCCTTGTTCAACTCCCAGTCTTGGTCAGAAGGGCCCTGAGGCCACAGGCTGGCCTTCGCTCCAGTCGTGTCCCCTCTGACTGGCGGCCTGTTCTCTCCTGCGTCCCGACAGCTGACTCACGGCGTCATGAACAAGGAGCTGAAGTACTGCAAGAACCCGGAGGACCTGGAGTGCAACGAGAACGTGAAGCACAAGACCAAGGAGTACATCAAGAAGTACATGCAGAAGTTCGGGGCTGTTTACAAACCCAAAGAGGACACGGAACTGGAGTGACTGGGCCCGGGCTGGGGTTGAGCAGGCCGGACAGACTCGGCGAGGAGCCTGCGGCCTCCCTGCCCGCCTCCGCCACACCGTGCTCCTGTTGCCCCTCACTGGGACCACCTGCAGGGCCCTGGGAGCCCAGAAACCAGCTCAGTCTCCAGCAGGCAGTCCCTGGCCGTGAGCTGTTGGGGGGAGGTTAGAGGCCATCAGAGGCCAGGGCCCAGGGAGACGCTTCCCTCGGACCCTGGCCAGGCCTGACCCCTCTCACACCTGGGTCTCCTCCTTGGCGGTGCTGTCGGCGCACGGACCATGCGCATCCCCACCCACCACCTCTACCCTGACGACCTGTATTATATTTTAATGTATATGTGAATATATTGAAAATAATCTGTTTGTTTTTTTCTGGGTTTTGTTTGTTTTTTGTTTTGCTTTTAGCCTTTACATGCTAGGATCACAGGAAGACTTTGTAAGGACGGTTGAAGTTCTCCTGCAAGGTTTAATTTGTTATCATGTAAATATTCCAGAGCAGGCTGCCTTGTGGTTTCGGCCAGCCTTGTGCTATGTTGATAAGATTGATTTACTGCTTAAAATCACTTTACTTTATCCAATTTTTACTGAACTTTTTATGTAAAAAATAAAATTAATTAAAGAACTTGGTATGTGTGTTCCGTACGAGCTAGTTGAGCATGTTTGTGTCTGCGGTTCCTGGAGGAGAAAGGAAAGGAGTGCAGTCCAGAGTCGCCTGAGGTTGGAGTTGGCGGCCGGCCTGTCCTCACAGTCCCAGGGGCTGGGCTGAGGCAGTGCTTGCAGGTGACTGACAGGCCCTGTGGCTGTGCTGGGGGCGGAGTCACTCGGCGAAGGCGTGGCCGACGCCTCCCTGGCAGGGACTTCCCTCCAGAGACAAGTCCACCTGGCACGGGGCCTGGACACTAGGCATAGGATAGGTGGGGACCCCGATTGTGGGGCGCAGTGCACAGGTGGATGAGTGGGCATCTGGAGGAGACCACCCCCCCACACATCCCTGTCTGGGCAGTGAGGAGAGCCAGAGGCTTCAGGCCAGCCCGGGCCCATCTGCAGAGTCTGGTCCATCTCTTCCTCACAGCAGCAGTGCCCCAGGGGGGGGAAGGGGGGGCACTGTGCTCACTGCCTGTGGGTGCACCTGGGCTCTGAGATCTGGGTGGGGTGGGCGCAGCGCTCACTGCCTGTGGCTGCACCAGGGCTCCTAGAACTCATCAGGCTGTGCTCAGCCCTGAGGTGCAGGAATCAGCTCCGTTCGGATGAGCAAACAGGTGAGAGGGGCAGTTACTCATCTCCTGTCCTCGTATGAAAGGAAGTGTTAACACGGGAAGAGAAAACCTCTTTCCGTCATAATCACTGGGCATTGGACCTGCCCACTCAAGTGCATTAGGAGTGTCCGCGGCCAGATGCACCGTTGCTGACACCCAGGCTCCAGGGCTCAGGTGCCCAAGGAGCCGGGCAGTGCACAAGGCACCGCTGAAGAGGAAGGAGTCCTGTTAGTTGACCACACTGTTGGCTTTTCCACAATCTGTTCCCTTCCACGTGCCCCAAACACCTTCAGGCTCCAGTCCCCAGTGGATGGAGGCTGCCAGCTCACTGGGAGCGGTTCGTGCCCCTCCAGGCAGGGTTCACGTTCACCCCAAGCCAATCCATGGTCAGCCGAGGCCACTCCCTGCTGAAGTGGGTGTGATGTCCCCAGGGCCCGTCTGATTCTAGCTGTGGGAATGCTGGGTCTTCCTGCTTTCTCTCCTGGGTTATTGCTGCCCCAGGGTCATCTCAGGATGAAGGTGGCTCAGTTCCCCACCCCCCCTTCTTTTCAAATATATTTGTATTTATTTCAGAGAGGAAGGGAGAGGGAGAGAGAAACATCGACAGAATCATTGATGGGCTGCCTCCTGCACACCCCACACTGGGGGTCCAGCCTGCAACCCAGGCCTGTGCCCCGACCAAATTGAACCGTGACCTGCTGGCATAGGTCACCACTCCGCCCGAGCCAGGCTGGCCAGGCAGTGCCTTCCCTGTGAAGGAAGAGATTGGGGGTCGAGCCACCCCAAGAGCTGTTTTTCAGGACCAGCAGCAGCAGCTGGTGCACTGGGTCCTCAGTCTGTGCCATCTCAGCAGGGGATGGGGCCTGCCCTGGGCCCCTGGACGATGACGGCCCCACGTCTCCTGAGTCAGTTTGGGGGTGGCTGCCAGGATGGTAGCCGTCAGTCCTCCCTTGGCAGGCCTGTCTGCTGCCGCAGCCCTCGCCCGAGGTGGTCACCACACTGCCTGCCTCTCCCTCCCGAGGGAGCACAGCGTGGGCTGGAGGTGTCTGGGCTGCGGCTGTCCTGTCCTCACCTGCCCCTCAGGTGGGTGGGGGGACCTGCCAGCCCTCGGCTCATGCAGACAGCACATAACGCAGCGAGGGAAGCACGCTGGCCCTCCCGCTTCTGAGGCCAGAGTGTGGGCCTGGGAACGGCAGCCCTTTCTCCCTTTAGCTCCAGAGGTAGGTGCCCAGAGGTCCTTGGGGACCAGCCTCCCCGCCGTGCCGGTCGCCGCCACCTGAGTCTCAGGTGGGGGGAACCTGCTGAACTTGCCATTCTTGTCCCTGTTCTCCAGTGAAGGAGGCCAGAGTTGAGAAAGTAACAGCTCTAGCACGACCCCGCCCGTGCACGGCAGGTGCAGGAGGCGAACTCGGCGCCGAGCCCCACAGCTCCTGCCTCCTGCACGGGAGCACACGGCCTGCAGCCCAGGTTCCTCCCATAACTCAGGACCCCGTCCTAGCCACCCACTGCCTCACAGGCCCATGGAGCCAGACAGAGCCTGCACAGTAACCCAGAGCTGCCTTTACTATGGATACAAAAGTAGAAAAACAGTTCAGGCCAAGGAAGGGGAGGGGATAGGGAGCAGGAGGGCAGGCCCGCTCCCCCAGATCCTGGTCTCTGTCTCAGAGGGACATGGGACCAGGTGAGGGGGGTGGTGGCTGCACCTTCTGAGTCCCTCCAGAACGGAGCAGGCTGGGCCCACCCAGGCCAGGAAGCCCATGAAAGGAAGGGCATGGGAGAGGGCGTGGCAGGGAGCACAGGGCTGCACCCCGCGAGGCCAGGCTGTGGGGGGCCTGGCTCACACCACAGAGTAGCCCTCGGGCGGGAGGCCCAGGACCCGGACCACATCTTCACGGCCCATGGCGGCCAAGGCGTCCTCCAGCACCCTGAGGGTAGCGCCACTGCCTCCCTGGACAGCCCAGTCCCTCAGCAGGGCGCAGGCAGGCGCCTGGCCCTGGGCCATGGTCTCCACAGCCTCCGTCTGGTAGCCCAGGCGGCCTGCCAGGCCCTGCCAGCCCTTGTCGAGGTCGCCCGACACTCCCAGGAGCTGCTCCACTTCCTCTTGCTGCTGCTGAGGGAGATGGAGGTAAAGCCGGCGGCCGAGCTCCGGATGTGGCCCTGGGTGGGAGACACAAGGGTCAGATGGGCTGGGCGGTGGGCAGAGCTAGGTCCCTGCTCCCCAGGGAAAGGGACTCACCCTGGCTGGGAGCACAGGGCGCCAGGCAGCTAGGAGAGTCCAGGAAGACACTGCTCTCCCCGTGCCTCGGGTCCCTGTCGAGGGCGCCCAGCTCTGCAGCCCGAGCTTTGGCCAGCTGCTGTCTTTGTTGATGGGAGCGCCAGCTGTGGGAGCAAGGGCCCTGCCAACCAGCTCCGACCTTCACTGAGACGGGGAGCTGGCTGGGAGTCCAGACGGGAAGGGGTCCCACAGAGCAGTCCCCAGGCCACCTACCACTTGAAGGCCACGTAGGCAAGCAGACCGAGGACCACGGTGGCCAGGAGGGCACAGTAGACAGGGATGCTGCTGCCTGCGGCCCCTGGAGGCTCAGGGGGGAATGGGGAGGAGGCATTGCAGGCCAGGCCGCCCGCTTCGCCTCTCCACGCTCCTTCCCTGTCCCTGTCCTGCTCCTTCCAGGTCTTATCTGTGGAAGGAAGGAAGAACCGGGTCAGGGGCAAGGAACCCAGGCTAGGTCCCTGGGCGGCCTCACCTAGACTTGGCTGCCAAAAGATTTGAAATATAGTCCCTCCTCTGTAGTCAAAAGCTCATACATGCCTGGACAGTGACTCAGTGGTTGAGCATCAACCTATGAATCAGGAGGTCACAGTTTAATTCCCGGTCAGGGCACATGCCTGGGTTGTGGGCGCGATCCCCGGTCGGGGGTGTGCAGGAGGCAGGCAATCCATGATTCTCTCTCATCACTGACGTTTCTCTCTCTCTCTCTCTCTCTCTCTCTCTCTCTCTCTCTCTCTCTCTCCCTCCCTCTCTCTCTCTCTCTCTCTCTCTCAATCCCCCTCTCTGAAATCAATAAAAATACGTTTTCAAAAACCTAGAATGGTAAATTTCAGGTAAAACTAAAATTATAATAAAAGCTCAAAGCACAGCATCCAGAGCGGACTGGCCGTTTCCCCTGCTCATCTCCCATAGCCTCCCCTTTGCTCACCACCCTTCCCAGAGCTGCCCTTCCTTCTCCGGGCCTCCCAGGTGCCTGCACTTGCTGTTCCGCCTTCCCTGCCTGTCCGCCTGGAAGAGATCTCCTATGTGGGAAGCTTCCAGGACTTCTCCTGGTTTTCCCCGTTTCTGCCTCTAGTTGCACCTCTTCTGTCTCCTGTGGCCTGAACTATGTGTCCTGTCTTCCCAACCGCCTTGATTCATGGCGGTCTCCATGGGGCCTCCGGCACAGGACACCTTGTACACGTTTCGCAAAATGAAGCTGAACTGGAAGGCACGTAAATGCTGCTGCTTTCTTCCTTCTGCCTGGAGGCCAGCTGCTCCCACAATCCTGTGCAGGCACCGCAGACAAGAACTCCAGAGCCCACGACCGACCTTGTGTGTGACTTACCTACCTTGGCTACTTCCATCCTGCCCAGTGCCCAAACGTGGAGCAAGAGGTGCTTACCCCCACGGACCAGGCCGACCCCGTGGCTGGAGTTGTGAGGCATCGCTCTGCCAGCCGGTAGTGCTCCCAGGGGCTGCGTCTCTTCGTGGAGAAGGGGTTGGAGTGTTAGGGGCAGTGCCCAGGCACGGAGCTGGGGGGCCTCTCTAAGGCCCCGGGCGCTATGTGTAGGGACACGGGGGGGGGGGGGGGGGGAGGCGACGCCACAGGCCTGATGTCGGGAGTCTGGCTCACTCCGGCCTGATTCCCCCAGGGCTGGCTGCCCCTCATGCTCCCTCATCAACCTGGACCAGTTTTCTCTCGTGTCAGACGGCGTGGAGGTGAGAACTGGCCCCAGCTGGCCAAGAGGAGCCGGGGTGCAGCTCAGGACGGAGGCGGGCAGGTTGGCAAACCAAAGTCCAGGGATGGCATGGAAGGACCAGGGAGATGCCCACCCATCTAAGCCCCATTACTGGCTGGTGGGAGGCTCGAGACTTTGCAGCAGGAGGCCAGGAACCCAGTGCCTAGGGCTCCCTGGAGTGACTGTCCCCACTCCTGCCTCCAGTGTGCCAGCCTCACGTCCTGCTGAGGATGGAGACGAGGGGGCTTTGGGTCCAGCAAGGTCACAGGGCATATGGGACAGAGGCAAGAACCCTGAAGGACAGGACCACTCCATCCCAGGACCCATCGGGACCTACTGGGCTCATCCTGCTGGCACCCGCCTTCTGAGGCCTGGGGAGGAGGCCCAGGAAGGATCTTGTCTGGAAAAGGGATGAAGCCGCTGGGGAAGCTCTCCAACCCCCCAGGCCACACCGGCCTGTCGCCCCAGGACTCCACCATGCCTCCTTCCGTGCACGAAGCCGTGCGCCATGCTTCCGGCGAAGGGCACAGTTGGCAAGCGGTGGGTCTGGGACAGAGGCTGCCTGCCCGGGCCCTGCCACGTGTCGGGGTGAGTTGGTGTCACTTACCGCATGAGGGCCCCTCTGGGTCCTGGCTGATCCCGGTGGTGGGTGAGCCTGGGACGGTCCTGTGTCCGCCTGACCCTCCTCGAGCTGCGGCACTGAAGCCTCTACCGCCCCGCACCACGCACCCGCCTCGGGGCCCGCAACACACGCCCACACAGAGCAGCACCCCGCAGGCCCACACACGCCCGGCTGCCCGCACACATTCCCACGGGCGCGGCACCAGGACCGCGGTCTCCGGGCGGGTGCAGAGGCCGCGCTCGGCCCCGCTCCTGCCTGCCAACCCTCCGCGCGCCCCCGATCCGCTCACCCTGGGGGGGCCGCGGCCGCTGAGCTTCCCAAGGGCCGGGCGAGGAGACCGTGTGGAATCCCGGGGAGGCCGGGTACGGGCCGCCCGGACGGACAGCGGCGCGAGGACGGGCTCGGCGGGGGCGGGGCGGGCCGGGCGGCTCCCCACGCCCCAGAGAGGATCGCGCAGACGCGCCCACCCTTCGCCGCCCGGAAGGCGGGGGCGCACGGGTGCCTGCAGGGCGGCCACGTGGAGGACCGAGCGTGCGAGCACGAGCCGGGAGCAGGCGGCCGGGGAAACGGAGGCCACGGGAGGGACGAGCCGCCCGGAGGGCTCACGACCAGGGGTCCCAGTCCTGATGGTGACCCGGGGGGGGGCGGAGCCGCGCGCACAAACTCGGGAGGCGGAGCAGCTACAAAACGAGGCCAAATTTATTGCCGAGAACGGGAGCGGGGCCGCCTTGGGGTTAAGGCCACGGCCGGTCCCTGTGCTGCCGGAACCGGGGCTCGGGCGGCTGGGTTCCCCGCCCCAGGCTCTGCAGAAAGTGCTGTGCAGTCCCGGGCCCGGGCTGGGATTCCGGATGCCCCTCTGCCGGCGAGGGGCGGGACTTCCGGGAGTGACTCCGCCCGCCAATCCCTGAGCTGGGTGGGGGTGAGGTACCGCCCACCCCGAGTGCCAGCTGACAGCTTCGCTGGCTCCTGGGCGGGGCCTGCGCTGGGGGCGGGGCCTCCGCTGGGGCGGAGCCTTGCTGGGGGCCGGGCCTGCGCCGGGGGCGGGGCCCGCGCTGGGACGGGCAGGTGGTCAGCGCTCCTCCTCCGGTTTGTACTCGGTCTCCCCAGAGGACACCTGCGAGATGCGCCGCGAGGACCCCCAGAGTTTCCGAGCGAACTGGCTGCTGCGCACCTGGTGCGAGGAGCGGTGGGTCAGCCAAGACCATCACTCCCCGCCCCATTCGAGCCCCGCTCCCGCCCTTGTCCTCACCTTAGCAGGCTGCCCCGCGCCCACCACGATAAGCTTGCCATCCTCCAGGCCCACAAGCACGTGGCTGCGCTCCTTGGTCACCGCCATGCTGCGGATGGGCACCTTCATGGGCAGGGGAGGCGCAGCCGGAAGCAGTCTGCAGGGAGGGAAGGAGCGGATACACGAACTCGGAACGGCAAGGCAGCTTGGCACCCAGCAGACTCCTCAGGGCCCTGTTTGCCCTCATTTGCAGGATGGCGCGATTGAAACCCTGATTCGTGAAGAGGTCTCCCAGGGATGTGTGGCTGAGAGGCCAAGAGCCAGATCTCCCTAGCGGGGCGGGGAGTCAGGGACGGGACTTGCAGGACGTGCCCGTGAGCAGGCGAAGAGGGTGTGGGTCCACAGGGGCACCTCCTGGTTCCCCTGCCAATGGCCACCACCCTGAGGGACCATGAACCCATAGACAGTGGGGCTCACTTGTTCAGGTGGAGGATGTGCAGGGCACACTGGGCTGTGCCCAGCAGAACAAAGTCTTCCGTCACCGCCAGGGCGGTGGGCTGCTCCACCAGGGGCAGGGAGGCCCGCAGCCTCCCGTTCACTGAGTACAGGTGCAAGGAGTAGGTGACCTGGGAGAAGCAGGAGGTGTCAGCAAGCACAGAATCCCAACCACCCCATCCTGACCAGGTGCCCCTTTCCCGTACCTGAGCCCCCAGACGTTCCCGTGCTGAGCTCTGCACCACGATCTGGCCCTCAGACCCCAGCGCCAGGTGGGACACGGGTCCGGGCAACATGGCCCCCGGGGGCCGCAGTGCTGCTACGAACTGGCCACGACGTACAGTATGGATGATCACAGCGCCGTCCTGTAGGGAGGCAGCTTAGGGTGCTGGGCAGGGGCTCTGGGCTCCAGAGGCAGTGCCCAGCCATCGCCCCCCCCAGGCGCAGGCATACACAGACCTCCGATCCGGACACAGCCATGTCCAGTTCCGTGCTGATGGCCACACAGCTCACGGCAGCTTCGTGCCCGTAAAGGACCTGTATGGGCTTCGATGCCAGTCCCACCGAGAGACCACCCTGTAGGAATCCAGGGCTGTCTCAGGCCTGGGGGCACCCCATTATCCCGGCTCCTGAACAGGGAGGCTACGGCTCAGGAGCGCGAGGGGATGGGGTGAAGCCGGAGAGCTAGAGGGCCGTGGAGGGAAGGGGATGAGAGGAGCAGGACCGGAAGCCTGCTGAGGAGCGGGCGGGCGGCAGGTCTGACTACGGGGCCCCACCGAGCTGCCCACCGGCACACCTGGTACAGGAGCTGCCACACCATGCAGGTGGTGTCCCGGGAGCCTGAGATGAGGTAGATGCCACAGGTGTCCAGTGCAAGGCAGGTCACTATGTCTGCATTGTGGGGGAGGTCCAAGTAGAACAGAGTCGTCACGCCTCTCCTGGCCAGCCGCTGGCACGCGCCCCGCCCCGCGCCACCCCAGCCTCAGGGCGAGCATACCAAGGTGGCGGTTGATCTGGCTCAGCAGCTTGCCCCGTGGCAGCGCGGTCACACAGAGGCTGCCATCCCAGTGGCCACCGCTGAATAGCAGCTTTCCGTCGGGGGCCACGGCCAGGGCGTGCCCACTCACGCCACTGCCCGGCACCCAGGGGCCACTCAGCAGCCGCTGCCCCCTGACCAAGGACGGGAGTGACAGGTGAGGCCGGGACACCGAGGCCTCGGGGTCCTTGGCCAGACCAGCGGCTGGCCAGCACTCTTAGTGGGGACCCCCCCACCGTAGCCCTCTCACTTGGTGGAGTCTTTGATGAACCTGAAGTAGTTGCTTATGTTGCGATCATAGGGCAACCAGCTGTGGGTGCCCAGCAGTCCGTTGGCACTCACGGTCACCTGCGAGCAAGGGGAGCAGAGGCAGGTTTGGGGTGCAGTCAGAGAGGGGGCGGGGCCGGTGGCATCCTGCCCAGCGCACTTACCAGCAGGTCTGGGGTCATGGAGGAGTGGAGCTGCCGGTGGGGAACCATGGCCAGCACCAGGGGCACACCGTCGCTGATGAGCTGTGGGTTGAGGGAGGCTGGCTGTGTCCGAGAGGCCAGCCAGCGCCCCACTACACCACCTGTTCCCTGGGCACTACTGCCTCGTTGACTCTCCGCCCCCAGAGGCCCCAGGTCCCACTGGGAAACACGTGTGAGACCAGTGGGTCTTCAGGGGGCACCTCAGAAAGTGAGTGAGAAGCTGGGGTGGACAGGGCCTCATGCTTGGTCCACCCACCCCGTTACTCCATGTCCCCCCAGCCTGCGGGCAGGAGAGGACAGCCTAAGAAAGCCAGGCCCAGGGGCGTGCGAGACGCAGCAGGAAGGCGAGGGAGTGTCCACGGAGATGCCCTCCCTCCGGTCTCCCCGAGGCCCTCGGGTGGCTGCGTCCAGGCCTTTTCCTGCCCAGCGGCACCCACAGTCCTCTGGTTTCCCGAGGGGCCTGAGTGCCAGTGGCCCTGAGTCGGTCTCCCCTCGGCCCCAGCAGGTGGGTGAGGGCAACGGCAGGTTGAACTCATTTCCGAGAGGAGGAAGCCAGGCCTCCTCACCTCCGCAAAGAAGGCCCTGAGCTGGTCCAGGTGCTGGAAGATGCTGGGCGAGTTCGTGTCCAGACGTGCGAGGCGCTGGGCTGCTTCCTCCGCCGAGAGCCGGGCTGGATGCGGCTCCTGCGGGCGGGCGAGTGGCCAGTTAGCACCGTGGCCTGGATGTCCCTGCCCGTGGGCCTCCGCGCTGGCCTTACCTTCAGCAGCTGACAGGGAGTCTGCCCGAAGTTGCTGATAATGCCCTCCAGGGCCTTCCGTTCCCGCTCGTCGGTCACCTGGTCCAGATCCACAGCCCCTGGGCGGGCAGACCAAGCAGTCAGGATTCCTCCGTGCCCTCTGCCTCCACCCTTCCTCCTCCGTGCCCAGCCTCCACGTGAGCCCAGGGCCTGCCCACCCTCATAGGTGCAGTAATAGAAGATGTTGAGGGCCTCCTCCGCAGCCGGGCCCCGCTGCTTGTAGCCAAAGATGAGGTCAATCCATTCATGCAAGTGGGTGGACACGTATTCCGACTCCTGGGGATGGACAGGGAGGGGCGGTCAGTCCAGGGACAGACAGCTGACCCCAAACCCTGACCTTCCACCCCGGCTGCCTGGCTATATGACCCATGTCCTCACCAGGGCCTGGCGGTGCTGCTGGATGAAGTCCTCAGGGGATTTGGCCCACGGGGGCAGCACCACATCGCCCACCTTCTCATTGGTCAGCTGGAGGCAGCCCAGGTCAAAGCCTGGAAGAGAGGACTGGTCAGCTGTCTTCACCCACTCATGGCCCGTGTCTCCTTCCCCACCATACCCGCCCCCAACCCCCATCTCCTTCCTTCCCCACTGCACTCACTCCCTCTCCCCACCTGCCCACCCGCTCTCCTTCCCCACCACACCTGCTCCCCGTGGCCCGCATCTGCATCCCCACGCCAGCCCCTACCGTTCTGGTTCTCCAGGAAGTCGGGGAAGTAGAAGAATTCCGGGATGAGCTCCTTCACGTCGGCCAGGCTGTCCAGGCGGGCCTGCCAGGCTGCCGCCACCGAGTGGAACTGCCGGTCAGAGCAGTCGAAGCTGGTGGAGAGGGGCACGGGCCAAAGTGAGGCGGTGACGACGGAGTGGAGGACCTGCCTCTTCCCCTCAAACGCTGGCCTCCCCCACCCCGGCCATCTGCCGCCCCTCCCTGGGCCGCACCGGCCACTCTGCAGCTGGACGTGCAGGGAGGTGAAGGGTTCCATGCGGATGAGGTAGTGCATCACGCCCGCTGCGTTGGAATAGTGGGTGCCATAGTGGAACTTGTCAATGGTGCCCGCTGGGTCCTCGAAGCTCTCATACCTGGAGTCACAA